GTCAATGACAACATTATTGCTCTAAAATGGTGCCCGATCTGTGCAAACACCAAACAGAAGAGGGATTCCCCAGTGGTCTCCAATTCTAGTGACTGCCGATGCTTCTCGCCACTCTTCCTCTCTTGTCTTCTTTGGGGGTTCAATTATTTTCATTTCTTTAGCAACAACGCGGCATTCATTGCGGTATAGGGCGATGTAGCAGTTCCCAAAGGTTCGGTTTCCAATTTTTTGGTTTTTATCCACTTTCAGCAAAGACCTATTGATCTCCTTAAACGCAAGAGCATTTGCGTTCTTGTCGATGCTATTTTTTCTGGAGCTAACTTCGATTTGTTTCCGTGAAATTTTTGCGGCCGGCACGTATTTCTCGTCGGTATGACCTTTCCGTTTTAACTTCGAATGTGATAAATTGACCATGACCTTGCCTCTGGAAAAAGTATTTGCCTCTGGAGATAGTTTGTTGGCCTTCATCCGTTTCTTGTTTGCGGGCAGTGATTCTGCCTCCTTCTCACTTTCTGATTCTGGAACCTTTTCATTCTCCTCTCCCTCTTCTGGCATCTTCTGTAGTTCTGGTCCACGAGTCTTCTCATCATATTTCTCCTCTTGCGGCAACTCCTCTCTTTCTGGTACACGAAAGTTCTCATTCTTCAATCCTTCCTCCCATTTTCTCCTCTGCCATGCCTTATTTTGCTTTCTTTTCTCTCTTTTTGAATGCGCTCTCGAACGATACTTTCCATCCCTTACTCGGAATACTCGCTCTCCTTTTTGGCATAACTCCTCTCGCTCGTTTGAGTCCATGTTTTCATTCACGGGAAAAGACTTCCGATACGGAAGGTAGCACGTGGTACGTGAGAATTGTCTCTAAACGGAATCCATTGTTTCAAGAACACCCGTACTTAACCCACATATCAAAAGTAAATTCCTTTTTCCTGTCCTCACACATTTCCCTCTTAAATGGTTAGGACAAGTTATTTTATATCAAGCGCCGTGTGATTACGTCCTTTATTCTCATAACCTATGTGATTGAGAAGGAATGTTACTTGAAAAATTTCTAGTTTGCTACAGGAAAATTGACGGCGAGATATTAACGAATCCGTTATAGCTGACAACGGCATGGATCTGCGCAGTTACGTTTTCACAGAAATGTTGTTTATAAACTGGAAAGTTTAAAACTTTTAGCGCAATTCAAAGGCAAGCGGAAGAAAACACACGGTGGAAGGTGATCGAGCCTTAAATGTGGTGTTTTTGGACAACGCGGAGAACGAGGCTTCAGTGCACGACATTGGATTTCTTAACAGGAGATCGCAAGATTTTAAAATGGGATATTTATCGTGGCTGGCAGGGCTTACGGAGCAGATAAACGCTTCCTTAATCCTCGTTTACGTTTACGTGGTAAGTGGCGAATTTAAACGGCACAAAGCCTAATACCACCTAAGCATTTTGCATCGCTTTTAATTTAGATCTACGCAGTTGAATATTCCTAGTTAAAAGCCGCCTAAGGTGCTACCCAATCATATTTTCAGTTGTGCGTACAGTCTTTACCCTCAAACTTTGCTATTTTCTTTAGTATTTAGTTTCTTAGCTTAGTAGCAAAGTCCTTTGCGCGTCATTTAGCCGATTCTCTCAGTGTCACGAGCGCGCGTTCCTCGAGTTTTGCTCATCACACACTGATCCCGGCTACGGGAGAAGAGCGTTGCGTGACGAAACAGAACGACTGTGCGGGAATGAATAAAATCTTTAGTTTACTTAGAATGTCAGATGATCTCAGAAAGCTTAAACTTACACTTCTCCTGTCAAAAAAAATGTGCTGAAGACCCAATTTCATTGTAGCTGATTTTGTCTACTTTTATTTCTAGGTGGTTGGGTGACTTTACAATTCCCACAAGTTCCTGAAAGGTACTTTGGGCACTTAGCTTGGCAAATGGAATGCAGACTGCATAGCATGAGAAAGATACCTCATAAGAAGCCTCCATTTTACTGCCCATCAACAAGGCGAGTTTCCTATAAAGTGTATAGCCTCACTTCATTTACTGATTCATTGCATGAACAAACCCTCCTTAAACTAAATGATACGGCCTGGTACAATGACCTACAGGAAGTGGAGAAAAGGTCTGACCTTAGCCCTCAGGAGGAGCTCCAGGCTGCCAAGAACCATAGTTTTTGGAGCACTGTCAGAAATGAGGAGTCGTTTAGGGATCTATTAACCAAACGTCTAACAGCCAAAGAAAGTTTGGAGGTGGGTCCAAGACAAGGACGGACCACTAGGGAGGTAGAGGTCATCTGGTGGCCAGATCTATACTCCACCACAAGGAATGGAAAACTTTCAATAAGATTCTAAGTTAAAAAAGTAACTGTTTGAAACTTCTTTTTATGAACAGTTTTTTTGCAGTCTATTCAATATTCATCAAACGTTCAGGCAATGGCTTTAAAGTGGACTTCACTTCCCTGAAATATCTGGGAAGTTGTTTCTCTTCCATTTTTTACCTGCAAAGAGTAGTGTTAATTGTCAAACTTCCTTGTTTGACCTGTACAGAGGTTAATTTTGCTTTTTTATTCTTCTCTGCCTCTTTGAAATGAAAGCTTGACATAGACACCATATTATTCACTAAAGTGGAAGTTGAAAAGAGCATAAAACACTAACCTTGGAAGACAATAGTATCTATGGGAAGGTGTAGTCATTGTTGAAAATAAAACATCAACTTTTTATACCAAAACAATGAAACTTCTTCATGCAACTTTAGTAAAACCACAAAAGCAAATGTTACCTTATATAGACACTAACTAAACAGACATGCTATGTAAATCTACTAAATAATGTTTTTACCTGTTAAAGGAAATTGAAAAGCCTATATGAATTTTACATGTATTTCAGTGATTTTGCGCTTAATTTGTAGCAAGTTAATGTTAGTTAACAAGTCAGTAGCTGCTTTTAACGGCAAAAAATCAAGTTTTTGCTCAACAAAACAGCTTTTAAATCTGCTCAATCTTTGCTGAAAGTAGGTCAAGTCAGTAGCTGCTTTTAACAGCAAAAAATCAAGTTTGTGCTCAACAAAACACCTTTAAAATCTGTTCAATCTTTGCTGAAAGTAGGGCATAAAGATTAAAATGATACAGTTTAATGAACTCTTACTGGTCTACTCCGTGATTGGTCATTATCTTTTAATACATATGGTGGCTCCTAAAAGAGCCGTTTGTTTTTTGTCACCTGCAGTCAGTGCAATGTCAAACTCCCTGGTTTGACCTGCAGGATTTTTTTTTTCATTCCGTTCTTCATTGGAATTTTAGCTGGACATCAATGCCGCGTCTTTTGCCTGAAAACTCAAAAAAGAGCAAACAACATTACTTTTGAGACAATAACTTATGTGAAGGTGTTGTCCTTGGTAAAATTGAAAAAAAGTTAGAATTCAATCTCAATCTTCCTATCATAAGCATCTTATTGAAAGCTTTGAAACAATTAATTCAGTGAAAACTGGGTTTCATCACCTCCACAGTTTGGGCGTGCCACCTGTAAACCTTAAGAGAGAGAGGAAAGCCTTACAATAATATTGTCAAAAGAGTTTTCATTGTTATAACAACTATCTTATTGAAACCTTTGAAAAACTTAATTCAGAACAATAATATTGTCAAAAGCAGTTTCTTTCACAGTTCAAGAACAGTATCTCATGGAAAATTCAATCTACAATCTACAATGGTGATATTTATACGGATTACTTATTTTCGTTGTGTAAACCGATAAAGAAGTCTCTGGCGATGACTCCCCATGTCATAAAAACTCCAATGAAAGTGAGGAATTCTATTGTCTGCGGGGTTGTCTATGAAATCAAAGACTGCCAATATCACACCAATGCCACAACTAGCACAACCTTCCCCAAAAATTGGCTGTTTGGGCATTCCAAACCGCTGAATTGGAAAGGTGATATTCCATTGGGTTTCTGATACAGCCTTCAGCAGATTGTCAGCCAATTCAATGATGTTGGTAGGAGGACTCTGTTTTAAGCCATCATCATAGAATGCTTGCTGCTGTGCCATATTTAGGCAAAGGAGACCCCAGTGGTTTCCACTTATGTGGGTTGGAGTAAGGGTCCATATAACATCACCAAGATCCATTCTTGAAAGGTAGGGCTTCAACTTTGTTTGTAGAAATTGCACATTTCTGGTTAAAGCCCAGGTTTGTGTAAATGACGGTAGATACAAGGAATGGAAATTTTTTCGCATGGGTTCTTCACTGTACCTCAAACATGCAGCATCAATCAAAAAGCCACTAATGTACCTCTCAGCAGCTAATGTTGAAAGGTCTTCAGCATCAACCATGACATCACCAACTCTAAAGATTTCTTCTTGAGGTTCACTGTCAAAAAGCAAAGCCCTAATTTCATTAATTTGATGAGGGGTTAATGTGGTGCTTGTAGTTTTCGTCCAATATTCCTCTTCTTGGACTCTAAACTTAATGGAGGAATCTTTTGATGCTTTCATCCAAATGTCTAGAACTCTGCTGTCAAAGACCCCAAGATCTCCAAACTTGACTGCAGCATCGAAATCCTCATCATCACTGGTTTCTCCATTTGCCGCATCCATCAGTCTATAACCCTTAGTGATCGCTGATTCTGAAGGCCTGACTGGGGACTGCAGAGGATTGTTAAGATGCCCAGGATCAACAACCAGCTCAATGTCATCATCTGGAATTTGAATTACAGGCGGAAGATTAAGGGTAGCAAGTTGGCCTCTGAAACAATCATTTGTAGCACAAATTCGTAAATCATGAATAAACAAAGGTTCTGATGGTTGAGGAACAAAGGCAGTTTAGTATCCACTGTGACACTGGGCAAAGGGCTGCAACTGGAATTTGAAGGGCTAGTGGCGGGGCTTGATGAGTGGCTTGTGGAAGAGCTGCTGACTGGGCCAGTGTTGCTGGAAGCTGGGCTGCTAGCTGGAATGGATTGTGGACTTTGTGGCTGTTCCAGCAAGGAAGTAAAACTGGTCAAAACTGTAGGAAAGAGCTGCTCCTACAGTGCATGATCATATTGATAGATAGGTAAACAGCCGGGTGATATTACCACTCGTTTTAAACCTTTGTCAAATTCATAACAAAGAGCATCCTTGCCAAACATTTTGTTGAACAAGTCATTCATGGTGAAAATCCAGGCCATGTCATCTTTTGACCATGACACTTCTTTTTTTCTGGACCAACCGCAGCCTCTAAACTGGAATGGTTTACCTGACATACAAAAAAGAAAAACATTGGCATAGACAGAATAAGGGAACCAGTCACAGTTAAAACAACAACAACAAAAAAAGATTTTAACAGACTGTGTTCATAAGCTCTAAGCTTACTGCAAGTTTTTATGTGGTTAGTTTTCTACTGCTCAAGAGGAAGAATGACAACATATTAATGTTATCTCACCCCATTCCAGGTAGAAAAAGATAAAGTGCATAGTAATGTTGTCATTGAATATAGTGTATGCTTTTTATGGGAGTACACAACTTTATTATATAAACACCAATGACATACCAGGTAAGCTTTCGAGCGAAAACTTGATATCTTCACATGTGAAAAAAACATGTTATCTTCATATTTGAAAATATCACCGTTGCTATGTCTACATAATAAATGGCACCTTTCACACCATAAAACTATTAAAGTGAAATGGTTTGGTATTTCATTGGTGTTTATATAATAAATAGAACATTACATGGAAGCTTGGAGATACGAAATTTCTCTTCTCGTGTTGAAAAAAATATTTTTTTCAACACTTGAAGAGAAATTTCATATCTCTGCGAGGCCATGTAATATCCTCTATCTCAGTTTTTTACATAACATTGTCTCAACCAGGGAGAATACATTTGACTACACATCTAAGGGACTGACATAAAAAGAAGTTCCATTATAATTATAATGTTTCTAGCTGGCAAACATTTTAGAAGATAATCACCATTTTCCATGCTCTCTATAGCCATTCTGAAGCAAAGCCACAGGAACAGCAACTTTTCAGAAAAGAAATGTTGCAAAATCTGTTGGACTTAATATAATGAAATAAAGTTGATTATTAAAAAGTGCCAACAACTTTAATACCAACAAGAACATGTGATTAAACCAGGCTTTGCCTTTCCCCCCAATGGATTCTAGTTTTCACACATTAATTCAAGAACATGTATAGTGTAGCTCCCAAAAATTGATATTTTTATACTAATATGGTATGCCTTGAACAATGACTTCAATATTAACTGTAAATTGGCATCTAAAATTTCAATAAAGACCTTTAGCATCAGGTTTTTCATGCATGGCACACTGCAAACAGGTCTCAAATATAAGAACGTCAAGTGGTCTTCTGGTCACGTTTGCAGTTTGCAGTTCAAGTTTGAATGGCAGGAAGGGCTTACAGCAGTAGGTACAGTCAATTACTGCAATGTTTTTGCCACTAACAATAATATTATTGTCTTGCCTTACATTTAAAAGCACGAAGCAGCTTTCTACACCACCCTCTGATGTGCTATAGTTGGAGCTGTTGATAAACAATGAATGTCTGCCTAAAGATTACAATCCAGGCAAAGTGAAACTGCAAATGGGTGACTGCAGACTGCAGTTTACAGTTTGCAGTATCCCACGAAAAACTGATGCTAAGGGTATTTTTAATACCTATGGATGTTCTCCAACAGGAAATTATTTTGCTAACAATGAAAGATCTTAAGATTACAGGATATTCAAAACAAGATTTAAATTTCAAGGATTTTCCATTGACTCAACTTAGATTCAAGAGCTTTTAAGAGGGTAGCTAAAATTCAAGAGCTTTTCATCTTTATGAACTTAATGCATCATCTGTGGTATCACAAATCAATGTGAAAATGACATGATGAGCTTCCTAACCTTTCTATAAAAAGAGTTGTTAGTTTAGTTCTAACAATATTTAAGTAGCAGGTGACAATATTAGTTTCAAGTACTGTAGTGTAGAGATGTATGATAATATAAAAAAATAAAGTACTAAAAAAGTAAAATATAAAACTAACTTGATGTAGCATGACCATGCCTGTCATGGGAAGTAGCCTTTTGAATATAACTGACGCTGTAATGAGTGTGCTGCCTCAAAGCCTTGATTTGAATACTCCCTCAAGCTGAGGTGGTTTCTAAACAGCATGCTGGTATGTTCAATGGCGATGTGGCCATAATCACTAGTGCCCAGGTTGCAGCCAAACACTTCCCTTAAAAGGAATCCCCATTCTTTGAACTAAAAGAAAAAAGAGGCATATTCCCATGGGTGTTAAACAGTTGTTAAAATCAACATTGAAGACTGTGCAGTAACTGATGGCGGGTCTAAAATACAGGTAACTTTTCCACAGGTCAGAGTACAGTTCACCATGATACAGACAAATGAATAGAATTAAAAGTGTTTGCAAGCCCTAAACTCTTAACAAAATGCTCTATTAGACAGAGGGGAATCTGTGTGGTTTGGCAATTCATTTATGGAGCAGTGACATGTACTTCTTACCTGTGGAATGTGACGTGTACTTTGTGAATATCTTAAACAGTTTAGATAAACATTTTACTTTTAAAATGGTAATGTGTGTGCCTCATTCTATAATCAAACTTTAAGTATTGTTTAAAAGACCAGCATGAGTGTAGTTCCAGGTTCTGATTATACACAACTGCAAATTTTTTGAATGGCTTCAAAATCTCTGATATCATCTTGTACTAATATTTAGATCTGTTTTTTCGTTAATCTAAAAAATTGGATGTAAAGTTTAGCTGTGCCTTTATCAGATATAGACACTCTTGAAGCATTTCTTTCTTTTGTTTTTTACTTTATGGATTATTAATGAGTTTTTGAATGTCAGTTAAAGTGACTGGAAATTATTTTTGAATTTCTCCTCATGCAATGGCTTTTAATTGCTCATGGTCTCTGGTAAAAGATTTACAAGAAACTCCACTACAGCTGTATTAACCTTCTTGTCTAAATTTATTATTGTAATAGTTTTAGACAGTATGCATATTTTCCATTAAGAGGACTTCATTTTCAAATGGTACTTTACACTCTTACAAAAAGTGAATTACCTGACACATACCTGTATGTCAAAAATGTCAAGAAAATCCTGCTAATCTTCCTCGAAGACACTACTTCTAATTACTTCAGAAATGTCTTTCCAGTCAGTGTAAACCTGAAATCAAAATGAATAATTATACGAAAAGCCCAAATTACAATCTGAAAAAATGTCATCATCTGGAATTTGAATTACAGGCGGAAGATTAAGGGTAGCAAGTTGGCCTCTGAAACAATCATTTGTAGCACAAATTCGTAAATCATGAATAAACAAAGGTTCTGATGGTTGAGGAACAAAGGCAGTTTAGTATCCACTGTGACACTGGGCAAAGGGCTGCAACTGGAATTTGAAGGGCTAGTGGCGGGGCTTGATGAGTGGCTTGTGGAAGAGCTGCTGACTGGGCCAGTGTTGCTGGAAGCTGGGCTGCTAGCTGGAATGGATTGTGGACTTTGTGGCTGTTCCAGCAAGGAAGTAAAACTGGTCAAAACTGTAGGAAAGAGCTGCTCCTACAGTGCATGATCATATTGATAGATAGGTAAACAGCCGGGTGATATTACCACTCGTTTTAAACCTTTGTCAAATTCATAACAAAGAGCATCCTTGCCAAACATTTTGTTGAACAAGTCATTCATGGTGAAAATCCAGGCCATGTCATCTTTTGACCATGACACTTCTTTTTTTCTGGACCAACCGCAGCCTCTAAACTGGAATGGTTTACCTGACATACAAAAAAGAAAAACATTGGCATAGACAGAATAAGGGAACCAGTCACAGTTAAAACAACAACAACAAAAAAAGATTTTAACAGACTGTGTTCATAAGCTCTAAGCTTACTGCAAGTTTTTATGTGGTTAGTTTTCTACTGCTCAAGAGGAAGAATGACAACATATTAATGTTATCTCACCCCATTCCAGGTAGAAAAAGATAAAGTGCATAGTAATGTTGTCATTGAATATAGTGTATGCTTTTTATGGGAGTACACAACTTTATTATATAAACACCAATGACATACCAGGTAAGCTTTCGAGCGAAAACTTGATATCTTCACATGTGAAAAAAACATGTTATCTTCATATTTGAAAATATCACCGTTGCTATGTCTACATAATAAATGGCACCTTTCACACCATAAAACTATTAAAGTGAAATGGTTTGGTATTTCATTGGTGTTTATATAATAAATAGAACATTACATGGAAGCTTGGAGATACGAAATTTCTCTTCTCGTGTTGAAAAAAATATTTTTTTCAACACTTGAAGAGAAATTTCATATCTCTGCGAGGCCATGTAATATCCTCTATCTCAGTTTTTTACATAACATTGTCTCAACCAGGGAGAATACATTTGACTACACATCTAAGGGACTGACATAAAAAGAAGTTCCATTATAATTATAATGTTTCTAGCTGGCAAACATTTTAGAAGATAATCACCATTTTCCATGCTCTCTATAGCCATTCTGAAGCAAAGCCACAGGAACAGCAACTTTTCAGAAAAGAAATGTTGCAAAATCTGTTGGACTT